TATAATATATATAAATATATATAAATACAGCTCAAATATATATTTGAGCTGTAGAGAAAAAGTTTACTGACACACTTTGAGAATTACTGTATTACTAAACACTTACAAAAGATCAAAATAAGAATGTTCTAGTTAAAACTGCATAAGTGACACAGGATGATGAAGGCCTGTTGTAACTATTAGCGTACAGCAGTGGCTAGAGAGCAGGTCTTCCTCCTACTGTCTATACTTTAATATTACTTCCTGAACACAGTGGGGCGAGAGAAGAAATAGTGATGCTTTGCCCTATACATGGACAGGAAGGGAGAGTTTGGGGTGTGGAAAAAAAATCTGCAGTCTCTCTTTGCTCCCAGCACCAGAGCTGTCTCCCAAAACCAACTGAATCAGTATCTTCCCTGAAGCCGCTGCCAGATGGTAAGCTCCAAATGAAGACAATCTCTCTTACCGAGTTTCACTTCATGACTTCCAAAACCGATGAACTAAATTTACTAAAACAGTGAGCCCTCATGCTCACCCTGAATGACAAAGCACAAAGACTGACATATTTAATGATACTGTAATTCCAGAGGATCTAAGAGAATATAAAGGCAGGTTTTCTAAGACTGTGCCTCCTCTTACTAGTCTGCTTCTTTTCCACCTACTTCAGCTGGTTTAACAAAGGGTGCTATGTTCTCCTGAAAGCTTGCTCTGTTCGGACTAGTGAAAATAAACGTCTCTGACAACACAGAATAATTTAGGGCATGGGCATTTTTGGCTGTATTAGGGACATGAACTAATTACACCCACGAAAGCAAAGATAGAAGATACCTACATACATAAAACCATTGAAGACAGTCTGGCCTGAAGCAAATGTAAAAACAGATTAAAGCATTCCACAAACTAAATCAGAAAAAAATACAGGTGCAAAGCGAAGGAAGATGTGAATGTGTATTATAGTGAAAATAAAGAAAAAACCAAAAACAACAACAACAAACGAAAAACTCATCCAAATATGTTCCGCTTGCTTTCCAGAAAAAAAATGTTTTGGTAAAGAACACACTAAAAAGAAGTAAGCAAGTTTCAGTGACAAGTAAAATTTGGAAATTGCCCCTACAAAAGGTAACAATATTTTAAAAGAAATTTAATTCTCCTTTAATAGGTAATTCCACTATTTCTCTTAGCAATTAGTCTATCAAAATATTTGCATGTTAAATATGCTGTTACATGAGCTATTCGATTATTCAACCACTTAAGATGCACAAAGAACACCACTGCAAAAAACCTAGCAAAATAAAATTCAATGCTTCATTTGTCAATTACGCATTCCTCCTTTACCAATATCTGAAGATACGGAACCCACACAGATCAATGAACAGTAATTCAAATTAGTTGTTTTCACAAAAATCCAGCAGTAATCCTTTAAATTACACTTATGGTATTCTGAAAACAGAAAGATAATTCAAAGTAGACATTTAACAGAGGTACTTGATGGTATCATCTTATTGCTAACAATATGGAATATGGTTCATATCATATGGAATGAAAGAAAACATTACTGGGAGAGAACAACAAAAATGTAAGAATTCTGATTCTGTGACAGTGTCCACAGTGAGAAAATTATGGCCTCCCTGAGGCTCTGAGGTATATATTAAATGACAGTGTATACAATATATTCTCAAGAATAATACTCTGCTCCATTTTAAAGCAAGGGTAACTACAAAATTAAGTCAAGTAATTGGATTTGCAAATTGCCCTGAGATTACACTTGAAATGTTTAATTCACCTGATGAAGGCACTAGATCTTTATCACTCCAAGACTCTACTGGAGAAGCTTCTGTTCTGTTAAATGATCTTGACTCAATAGCAGACTCAGGTTTTGTACTAGAAATTTCTTTCTTTTTCTTATCTTCTTGTGTAACTGATTTTGACTCTTGCTGCATCTGTGAACCAAATATTAATAAAAAAATGCACATGGGTATATGCTTGATACAATATTGCAAAATAAAGCTTTCAAGTCTGAAAGCTCATCTTCTATGAAATTATTTTCAGATATGATATCACACAATGATATTCAGCTAGTAATGTTAAGTGTCAGCTGCATGTAAGGGGGACAGCTGGAAAAAACAAAATGCATGAAAGAACCCTCCAGTTCAGATACAGTAACTTCAAATTCATATGTAAGGAAATTTACTTTGTCATGAGTAGGTACTTAAGTCTGATACTGTGCTTTTACCTGAGACCCTCAAAGTACTTCACAAGGAAGTCACTGTTCACTTACAGATGAGGAACCTATAGTCTTACAAAAGACTGAAATACCATTTAGTTTTTATAGAACACTTACTACCCTTAGTTAACAGAAGATGGAAAGATAAATCATGGTAACACCCTAGAAATGACAAATAATATATTGTTCTGGGAACAGGCTTCACTCAGGGAAAAAAATAAAGTTAATAGAAACTGTCTTTACCGCATCAATTATTGGTTTGCTATCAGTTTAATGACATCTATCTGAACGTCATTTTCGAAACTCAGAATTCCATTTGTGCTCCTAAGCGCAAATAAAAGATGAGGACTGCGTACAAATGAACACCGTAAATTTAAAGCAAAATACTTCTAAATGTTAATATAACAGAGAAACTTTAATTTTCTTTTAAAAGAGAAAAAAAAACCAAACATCACTGTGCAAAGCTGAAATTTTATTCAGGGAAGTACTACTTTTGTCAAGGGTTTATAAATTTCCACTGGAGAAAAACTGTTTCAGGGTGCAGAGAAAACATGTTTAATTCTGGGATGCACTAACTCAAATTCTGTGTATAATTTACAGGAGGTTAATATTCCCCTCTACTTAGCGCTGGCAAGGCCTCAGCTGGTTTACTATGTCCTATTTTGACGACTTCACTTAAAAAAACCCAAACACCACAAACCACACACAAAAACCCCTAAAAACAGAGAAGGAGAGAAAGAGAAAGTTCAAAGGAGAACAAGAAGTCTATAAGAGTTAGAAAGCCTGTTCTGTAAGAAAAAGTTATACCAGGGAAAAGATAATGTCAAAAACCATGATAAATTTTCCATATGTAATAGGGTTTAAGAATAAGCTAGTCATACCTACTGTAATTCTTTGCGTCTTTATCTTAAATTCAGTGGTCTACTTAGGACCAAAGCCTGAATCAGAATGGATTATTTTTTCAAGATCAAAAATGAGCTGTAAGAGAAACTGAGTTTTCTCGTGCATCTCGCATGTATTGTGGGACTAGATAGAGGATCTTGGTATCTGTTGGGCTGAAAGGTACAACAAACGTGACATCAATTAAACACTGAAGTTACAAAAATATCAGAGGGGTTTCTGTGCCTCTCAATGTAATTAGTAATCTTAAACAGAATCAGCAGAATAGTACTTCACCTTCTAATTTACTTTTTTCTCTCCCTCTGAATTTGTGAGTTAGTCATTCCTTCAGTAAGCCTACCTTGGTGACATCTTCCTTTTTGGTCCATAGTGATCGCACAGCTTCATAGGTTTGATGGCTTGCAGAAAATAACTTTTTCCCTGTTACCTATGTTTTTTAGAAAAACATAATTTAACAACAGCTTTAAAAATACTAAGATATACAGACCATTCAAATGTAACGCATCTTATTTGCATGAGAACATGCTTGACCCCATACTAAGACATTTTAACAGTCTACTTTTCAAGATCTAGTGCATATTTCTCTTACATCAAGAACGTCCTCAATAATGTTTAAACTGGTATTAGAAACCCACAGGTAGTGTTCACATGCTACATCCACCTTCTCAAAATGAAATCAAAACCTGAGCAGCAAACAGTGTTTTGGCAATGTTAGCACAATAGACTGGACCACCAGTTTTAAAGCATCCAAACTTGTTTCACTGTGTTGGCAATCATCAAAGACAGTAACACAAAAGGAAAAAGCCCCAAAAGATGATCTGGCCCATGTTAGTGAGCAGTGTTTTGCTTTACAAATGGCCAAGTCCTTCCATCTATTTTTGGAAAGTAATTTTATAATACTGCAGTAACTATGAAGTACCTTTACAAATGCTCTGTAGAAACAGAATACTTCACAGCTGCCACTACAAAAAACTGTGCAAGAGGTGATACATGATGTAAGTAGACAGGAAACAAGGTTTTAGCTTCCTGAGACAGGTCATAACGTACAGTGTAGCATTCCTGTTCATTTCTCCATCTTCCAACCCTGACGTTTAAGTCTTATGACAATAAATCAAGAAATCCCACTGCCTCTTGAGAAACTGTAATCCTCATTGACTTGCATATAAGAAAAAACCAACATATCAGTTTAGTAATATAAGACTGCCAAAAGATTTTAACCATGGTATAGGTCTTTGTGATATCTTCTTAAGTACTCTGGAAGTATAAAAATACTGAACAAAACCACTCCACTAAAATTAATAACAATAACAACTGATTCATTATGATGGAAAGTTAGAGATTAAATAGTAGTTTTTTTTCAATCAGATTTCAGGATAATGTTCCACAAATCTTTCTGTCAAAACTTAAATCTGATCATTTAACAAAAAGATTAATAAAGTCGTAGAACCAAACACAGTGAACTAAACTAAATTTTCCTAGCTCAATTTAACACAGAAGTGTAGTTTTGAAACTACAAATACAAAATTCATCAAGGAACTACAAAGAATTCTTATGAAGTAGTATGTGCTTTTCTAAATAGAGAAACACTGAAAAACTATAGAGGAGGAAGAGATACATTGACTTTATATATCCTGCTTTTCAATTCACTTTTTGTGTAGAAAAGTACTGTGTGCAAATAATTCTTGCATACAAAATATTAAGTATAGTTCTGTTTTTTTTGCATAAACAGTTAAGACATATTCCAATTAGGTAGACAACTGCAAGATGACAGTAATTGGAAAACAAGGAATTCTAAGGGATGCAATTGTACGGTATCTCAAACTGTGTACCTATCAAGTTCAACAAGACTTTATTTTTTATTTACTTTTATTTCAGCAAGATAAAATAATCTTCATTTAGCTGAGAAACGAGGATTAAAAATTGAGGCCGCATTTTTAAATTCAGTTATTTTATTAATTTTTTATAGTTATGCAATTAACATCTGTGATGCATCATATGTTTTAATGAAGATGCATGTGAATTCTGACTCCTTGTCCCATAACCCTTAATTCAAATGAAATGGGAATACCATGACTAAATTCACTGTTAATTCAATATTACAATACAAGTAAACTTACCTTAGCAAATACCACTGACTGAGCTGGGTAACAAACAGAAATTCCTAAGGCAGTAAGTCCCAATGGATAAGCAATTTTCTTAAATCTAGAATCTGTATAAAGCCAAATATTTCAAATAGTTAGATATTTAGACATTAATGAAATGTAAAGCTAAGTAGTTGTATCAGTTAAACACAACTATTTAACCTCTAACCATCGTTTACATCAAACTTATCCCTGTACTGGCTGGAGGAGAGAATGTGATTATAGTTTAGTACAGTCATGTCTGCAGGAGATACTGATACTCTGAACATTAAATAATTCCAAACTAGATTTTCCAATATTGTGAAAAATCAGAAGAACATCTGTGTCATTTAGGTGCTGCTGTGGTTCTTCACTAGCTCCATGCACGCTCTGCTGAGGACACAGATTGCAGCATTTCGAGCAGCCAGGAGCCTGGAAACCGGGGCCTCCTTGTTCAAACATAAGAACAGCTGGGCCAGGCTCAGGCTCCTGTTTGTTGACAAGGAGCCTTGATGACAGATTATCAAGTCCAAGTTCTTTTTTTAAGTCTCTCCACCAAAAAGTAACAGGGATACAAGAAGAATGCTTTTACTAATCTGCTAATATTTTGAGTAACACATTTTTTTTGTGAAATATTCAGATAGACATGCACTTCAGGTATTAGAGAGTAACATTTTCTGAACAATATTTTCTGGCAAGGTAAGTATTATACCTCTAATATTTATCTTGAAAGGAGAGACAGTTGTATCTATTAAATTACCCTTCTGGCTTCAAAGTTGCCAAAACCATGCCTTCCAGTGTGTATTCTTTTGCACCTGTTAGCCAAATGCCAACTTTCTTTAGGATCTTCCCTCTAAATTCCCTTAGTTTTCACCATATTCAATAACTTTACCTGTTAATTTGTCTCAAATTTCCTCCCATACACACATTGTTTCTGAAAACCAATACTGAACAAACTCAAAACAGGTGTCCTACTTTGAATTTCTGTTGATTACACCATTAAAAATGACTATACTATCCTACTCTGTCTTAGCCAGCTTCTAAAAGAAGTACTTAATAATGTCCCTTCAATTTATCAGGAAGGATTTCTTTTTTTAATACTAGTTACACAGGTTTTTGCCCATGTTTCAGAAAAGTCTTTTGACCATTAAAATTACTACATGCCATGTATTCAACACACCAATGATGAAAATAAGCAAAACTCCCTACCTTTTCTTGCCAACATTATGCCAGCTAAGCCTGATATTGTAATTACACCAACTTTGGGAAGAAATTCTGGTGGTGGATTCTTCAGGTAAACATAAGCATCTTAGAATTAAAAAAAAAAAAAAAGAAAAAGAAGCATAGCAATTCAATATTAATCCTTTCATTTTATTTCCCACTTCATAAATAACAATGGAAGTAAAAGTATGAATATCCAAAACTGAAAAACGTCCAAGACTACATTTTTTGTTAATGAATGAAGGTGCCTTATTTTCCAGGTACACACTCCAGTCTGCGTTAGACAGAGACAGAACCACAGTCCTCAAAACACAGCAGCAAAGTCAACACTTTCTCTCCTTAAGATACTTTTATATGTTTTGTAAAATGTTAGTCCTTAATAAAGGAAAAGGAAAGCATAGTTTCAAGTTTTGATTTTACTGTGAGTTAATATAGATTAAATGAGACAAAAAATATTTTGGAATCTCCCAACACACTATTTTTAAGGAAAACAACTGTTATCTATAGTTTCTGATACTGGACTTGAATGCAAATACTGCTTGTAACTTGTGTGAGAATTAAGACCCCAATTTTATAATTAAGACACATTGTGGAATTTCCATCCCTCCAGATTTTCAAGACCTGACCAGACAGAGATGTAAAGCAACCTGCTTAGGCCCTGCTTTAAGCAGGTGACGGGACTAGATGATCTGTAGAGGTGCCTCTACAGAGAGATCTGTGGATCTATAGAGATTCCAACTTCAATGATTAATACTATTTAATTAGTAATTTCTCTCATTTGAGAACAGAAATGAAACTCCATAGTGAATTAACAGTGGTCCCAGTACTCCAGTGCACTCCCCTTTCCCCCTCGTGCCCCCCTGGAACTAGGATTTGCTGTTTCAACCATCCTTCTAAGCTGCAAGGAGAAACAACAAAAAATGCTCAATTCAGAAATATGTGACTTGCCTACCTTTTCCAAACTGAACTGAATCCATTATTCCATTTTTAACAAAGACAAAAGCATCCTACAAAAACAAACAAAAAAAGAAAATAAATGTAAAATCATGGCAAAAGTAGATGTTTTCAGTACAAAACTACTCAGTTGATACATATGGCTCAGCACTATGAGACAAAGAAATATTATGTAACTTTAAAAAAACCAAACCAGATCAGTGAACTTCTACAGAGGCTGTGCTGAGATCTATCCTCTTTTTGATTACCACATTTATATTTTTAAAACTTCCATCCACATTTACTTAAAAAAAAGTCTCTTTAATATAGTAAGATCACTTTCAAAATTGACATCTCAGGAACAAAACCGTAGGGTAGCAAAACATCTGGACACCAACTGTAAAACATCAGAAAATTCAGCTATAAAATACAATCTCCTCTTCCTAGAGAGACTTACCCAGTAAAACTGACTTTGTCTTTCAGTTTATAAAGATGGTGCTTAGTTTCACTAAAGGTAAGCAATACTATTTGGTCTAACACGTGTGCTCAACCAGTTTGCATTACTCCCTTCAAATTGGTCAATTTAATTACAAGTTTTTCTTTATCCAGAAAAAAACCTTCTATTAGCCTATTATTAGCATTGTTGTCCTCAGATTGCTAAACAAATTGAGTAAATACACATTCTTTAGGAGATTAATGAAAAAGAATGTCATCTTGAGTTACTTCACGGAAATAATTTGTTTGCAGTAATCTAGAATTTGTACCACCAGAGGTCACTGCTAGTCAATACTGGAAACACGATGATTAAACACATGGAAAAGTTTGATACAGATTTATAACTAAATTATTTCAGTTATGCAGTCACTGACAAAATTTTCACAGACCAACAGAATCAAAATTTACAGAAAATACAGGAAGACAATTTGATTTCTTTGCCTTTTTCAAATAATAGGGTCTACCTTCTTTGTAAGAGGAAAAATACAAACATAAAATTTTATATTAACAACAGCCAGGGTAAAGCTGTCATTTACCAGCAGTTAAGAGAACGGTGACAGCTATCACATTTTCTTATATGTCTGGAATATTCAATAACAGAGTTGCGAGGTATTTTTGATGCGTAGCTAGTAATAGCCCGCTTTAACAGTTACATTGGATGCACTCAGTTTGTCTTCCCTAAGGTACCTGAATTAGGTCGCTTAACCCGCCCTCTGGAAGCAGCTGTCTCTCTCCATGTACTGTACCTGGAATTTCAGACTCCTAAATGCCATCAAGTTCCGCTAGCAAGAGTTTACCTACATAAATCTTGCCATAGAAGTTAACCCGTTAAGAGATACTTCTGAACCTGACGTTGTAGGTTGGCCTATATTCAGTGTAGCATTGACTGAAGGGGATCTATTTAACTCACTGCCTTTTGATCTGGAAAACAGGGAGAACACATATGTTCCCTGTTATAAGCACACTAGAGAAAAATGAGAGAAGAGTTCATTTTTGCATTTTAAATCGTAGGTGTATGCTAATACAAGGAACTGAAAAAAAATCTCCCCAGTGAAGTATGCTGGTTTTTTCAATGTTTTAGCCTAGTGCCGTCAGGAATTGTAGGAAACTTTGGACACAGGTATTTCTTACCTTGCACCATCCAATATAGTGGCCGGTTGTCTGTCTTACAGAAGAAAATTGCTTCTGCAAGCAACCCGGCTGTTCTTCAATGTACTTCAATTTCAGAGGTGGTGGACAGTAAATTGGAAGCTGGAAAGAAAAGCATAACTGTACTGCAGAGAGATAGTTTTGTATACTGATTGGTATTTACACTGAATAGTGTTTTTCAAGACTGCAAATCCTTAGCGTTCCCATTACAGCAAGCATAATCTCTATATTGAATTATGCTCTTTTATATTTACAAACTTACTGTACACAAGTGTGACTACAGGTTAATTCTTTAGAAATCAAAACTGAAAGTATCGTATAGGTTCTAAGAAGTAAAATTACTGAGTATGAGAAAAGTATCTTTTATTCAGAAAAAGCATGAGCAAGAATAGTTGGAAGATGCATCCACGTATTACCAGAAATTGTACAACAGAAAAAGACTATTATTATCAGTAAGTATTAGATTCTCTTACTTTTTCTGGCTTCAGTCTGGAAATAACGTAATAATGAAAATGAGATAAAACCTTCCTAACTTGCTATTGTAACACTTCATGTTTTATTTGTGCTACAGCGGTCAGTTATTTAGGAGGTAATTTTTCTTATCACACATTACTTAGCTACGTATTATATTTACTGGGTAATATAATACAATGGAAAGAGATGGTATTCTGCAGATTCTGCTAGTATTATTTTAAAGACTGACAAACAGTAAGACTCTTACCTGATTTGGCTTCACCAGCTGACTCTTTGATTCCTTTTCTGTTCCTGCATATACAGTAATACTTGCAAATGGCAGACTAGAAAAAACAGCTGCTAGCTTTGCCACCTGGGACAGACAGATAAAAAAAGGGAGTCTTAATGCAGAAATAAAAATTTCACTGCAGTAAAATCTGGATTTTACTATTGTGTTGTGCTTGATCAAATATGGGATTAGACAAGTCACTTTTAAAACCTTTTAAAAACAGTATGCCTTTTAGGAACCTCTTCTGTCTTATACAAAGATTTTTTCAAATTACAATGGTAAAGAAAAAGTTAGAGATCACTGACAACAACAATTATGTTTGAAATACCAGGAAGAATTTGGTGGTCAAAGCCATGTTGATGCTTCCATCATGCCTTAAGGTAAATTAAGTTCTAATCTATTGAATATACAGGTACGCCAAGTCAATGAATGACTCTTGTTTCAGCAAAAAGCACCTCAGTTTTATTTAAAGGAATTCTCCATGACATCAGATATGTGGGCATGGTGGTGTTGGGTATACGGTTGGACTTGATGATCTTTGAGGTCTCTTCCAACCATAACAATTCTATCATTCTATGTCATCTCTTTTCCAATTCAGAGAATGGTTCAACTACCGTCTGTTTGGAACAACTGCGTGTTGACAATAAATGAAAATACATAGCAGTAACTGGAATAAATCACCTGCTTAACCTTTCGAATCATGTACGTTACAATGAAAATTACAGAAATATAGGTTTGGTCGTGAGAATTTGATGTCTACTTAGAACATTAATTTGGAAAAAAACATCATTTATTATACAAAGCTTAATGTCAAATACAGCTTCACATGAATATTTTTTGAATGACTGCCTTAAGATTCCAATCAGAGCTGGTATTACATACACTGGCATACCATATACTGAAAAACTTGCCACAATATATTGAAGTATCTGCAACTTTGGTAGATTGCGGTTTCTTTTATATCAGCAAAGACTTTTCTGTTCTGCTCTTCACCTGAAGCATTTTTGAAATTTTAAAAAATGAAAAACGTTCCCAGGATCTGCAGAGAGATGATGGTAGTAAAGTGCCAGAAAAACAGAAAAGCAGGGGAAAAAACCAACCTTGATTTTGGGAAATAAATCCCCAGTTTAATACCCTACTATATCCTCATTTTTACCTCAGCTTTCAATTGGAAATATCCTGTCAAAGGAGTGGGATTTACTCCATAGCATTTAGTTATAATAAAGAAAACATAATGAACATGAAGAAATGCAAAAGCACCACTCTGAATGAGCTCCGGTTCATGAGACATCAATCACATGCACATTAAACTACTGAAGACAGCAAAACACCATTGCTTTTAAAGTAACCTGTGCGATCATCATAGCAAAACTTTCCTATCATACCATCACAGTGAAACACAAAGCCGTAGGAGAACAAAGGAGGACACCGCAATGATGAGAGGACTGTTCTGAAAGAAGGGGCAAGCAGACAATGCCAGAGCTGAAAGATGTGGAATATATCTAAAAATTATTCTTCAGTTGCATTTTTTGGCACGGGGAGCTAAGGGCAGGAAGGGTTACTTAAGGTTTCTCTACACTAATGGTCTTTATTAATATATAGTCTTTCCGCTCTTGACATTCAGTCAATATACCCCTTCCCTCTCCTTGAAGCATAAAACCTTCTTGTCAGCATAATTATGGTACCACCCTAGATGTCTGCCAGTGGCTACTATTTCATGCTTTTCTTCAATATAGAAATGGTGGGAAACCGTGTAGGACTGAGCTCATTTTGCTTCGAGAAACAGAACTCCACTAATTTTCTGTCCGGCCAGTTGATGTTATGAAACTTTTGTAACACCGCTGCCAGCTGGAAGCATCAAAAAACCCCCCACAGCTCCAGTACAGTCAGGCTAGCAAATCTCAGCTGGCAAAGCCATCACTGTAAATGCAACTACATTGACCAGCATGTGCTATTCTCTTAATTTACACGAGTGACACCCCAAAATATTTTACCTTTGCAGATGAAGTATAACAGGCCTGGGAGGCACCAATACAGAACTGAAGGACATGGCCACTAGATGAAAGCTGGGGATACAGCTCTGAGGAACTCGCTGTGTCAGGAGTCCCAGCCAGGGGAGATGGGGACAGCAGGAAAGCAGGGGCTGCGCGAGCTCCTATTCCTGCAGAAGCTGACAGGCAGGGCAGTGACCCAAAGGCAGGAACTTGTGAGACCTGCTGCCCATGGCCTCACCCGGGGAAGGCAGGGAGGTTTACAGGCACCATGCATGCACACAGGTGCAAGTTAAGCCAACAACACGTCTGGACTTGGAGTGGGACACAGGGGGGGGATACCAAAAATCATGTTACTAAAGAACTGGTTTTCCCATGTTGACCTAGCTATGCTGGCAAGCGTGGACACGGTCAGGAGGAGGTGGTGATACCACTTCCAGAAATGTAGAGAGAAAAGTCCTACATATATGTAAATACAGCCATGCTGATATCACGTATGTTGACCAGCATTGTGAAAAAAATTCAGTTAGTCACAGGTTGACAAAAGGTTTAACATGTAATGTTATTTAGTGTTAAACATCAATGATGTAACACGCTTAGTACAGCTTAGCTTATGACCGCCATACCGAGGAGTACTTGCCATTTTTCCGTTCAGTGCCTAACAGGACTGCCTCGGCAGAAAAAGTCACCAGGAGGCTCTGTTGACTCAGCTGTGCCCAGCACAGGAGAGCGGCTCTCCTAGCACAGCCCCAGGATACAGAAAACAGGTGAGAGAAGATGGCAATCATCAAAATATGAACCAATTAACACAGTAACTGTCATTCTGATAACGTTGCTTAGAGCAAAATGCCAGTCTGAGCTACAGAAGATTATCTCTAAATGGACATCCGTTCTCAAAATAGTCTGTATTTTCAAAGACTTATTAAAGAAAACTGCTGAAAATGTAACGTAATTCAGATTGCTTATTTCAGTACAAGATGCTACGAAAACAACATACCAATTTTCAGTAGATATTAGACAGAAAATAAAATTTAAAAGTGAGAAGTAAGAAAGCATGAAAAAGTTATATTGTTCACTTAACAAATTTGATTAATTTGCTTTTAAAAGGCACAACAGAGTTTCTTGTGCTAAATGTGAGAGAGAAAGCTATACAGGGAATGATTAAAGTAGTCCAATTCCTGACTGACAGTAATTGCTTTACTTTTGGATGCCTGAAGACAAATGCATAAATGTTTAAAAACCCAAGCGAACACCTGTACTATCTAACATTTACGCTGCCACAATTATTCCAAGCAGGTTTCACTCTTTTCTATTGAAATCACAAAGAACTGAGGTGAAAGAAAGGCAACGTCACCTTGACTACACTAAAGAGGTTTTACTGCATTGAGCTGTTTATCCTCTTCCTTTATCTAATGATTAGGTATATTAAAAAGCCCTCAATTAACAAAGTTGTTTCTAGTATTAATTTATTAAAATGATTTTTTAAAAATTATTCCGAAGTATACGATGCATTAAACAAGGAAAATCATGTACTGTTTAGCTAAAGAAATCAAAAGATATTTTACCCATGAAATCTTCTAAAAGAAGTTATGGAGAATTAAGAAATGGCAGGATCATACAGTCATGTCGAAGACTAGGAAAGAAGTACAGAGAAAAACATCTGCAACGAACTCGAGCTGTAAAAAATCCTACATGGATTACATGGTCAACCAGTAGAATGATGCCAGAATGTCAGTTGATAACTGATTCAGACAAACAAACAAAACTTCTCTTTCATGAATTCAGGAAATATTTTAATTTACCTTTTTTTTTTTTAATTGAAAGAGTTTACTTCAACATCTGCTCTTCATTTTACTACTACTTCCACGTTTATCTGAATTAATGCTCTGACCTAAGCCCCACGAAACTAACAAAAGAAAATAACAGACTAAGGAAAGAAAATCACCCAGCCCCTAATGGCATCAGATCTAAATACCAGCAGTTACAAAAGCCAGGAGCCCAGATGACATCTTCTGGAGATGAATTCTATATGAACATAGATCTAAACATCACCAGAATTACAGATACTAGAAATTACTAGTCTTAATGCTCTGGATGGGGAAAAAGGTCAATGGCAAGAGTTAAAATGATTTCCTGTAATACCACTGCCGTCACACTGCAACACCAGGAGGTTGGGTTTTTTTCCCAGGCATAAAAAGCACACCAGTTGTTTCAAAGCACTAAACAGTGCAGAGTAACAGACATGGCATTATTTTTGGTCAGAAAGACTGAATAGCAATTATTTGCTGAAGAAATTTATTACACGCTCTCTAGCAGAAAATTGTTACAGCTATGCTTTTTAATAGTAGAACTAGAGTAAAACTAATCAAAATTTAATAATAAAACTATCATATGTACCTGGATAATTCTGGCTTTAAGTCTTTGCATTTCAAACAATCTACTTCAAAGTGTCAGAATCTTATCAAAGATCAAAAATACAGATTCTATTAAAAAAAGTTAAAAAGCTACATCACTACAAAGAATTCACTATCTTCAACTCAAAAGATGCAGAATACAAACTAAAGCATAATACATTTCATTTACGCTAAACTCCAAGACATTAAGTATTGTTTCCCACTGAAACCGCAAATTCTGTACACTTGCCTCAAGAATCAGAGCGCAAATAAGGAAATTTGCCCTGAAGGTAGGAATAAGCCTTAAAACAAAACCAGGTACTCAAAGGAGTAGACTGTATGCAAAAATCTAATATATGTATGTGTGTGTGTATGTATATGCCTTCTCTATCACAAACCCAGAACCTAGTAGTCCAATTAAAATAAGATTAAAACCCTAGCAGCTACTGCATGTCATATCTTCCATGGAAAGCTGTTACTCAAAGAATAAGAAGCACAGGTTTATGGTTTTCTCCTACCACCTACATGTCTTGAGGTAGAACAGAAAACTGTCTCCCATCCTTTTGATTTATTTTTCTCAGAAGTTACAGGAGACATGACAATTGCCAGAAGCTTCTAGGCCAAATCCAGTATTTTAATTTGGCTATCTATTTACAGAAATCTCTAATGAGAACTACCAAAAAACCACACCCGAGTGGAACAGAGCATCCTTCCACCTCAGCTCAACTTACTGATACTCTACGGATTTGTTTTTCATCTTTATCTGCCAGATGGTAATGGAAGAATAAAACTCTATTAATTTTTCATAGTAAAGAACACACCTGAAGTTGCATCACTTCACCAAAGGTACCGAATTATTCAGATTTATGTACTAAACTATACGACTTCAAGACCACCTAGCCATACAGCGAAGCCAAATACAGTTTCTTTTTTCAGGTACCTGTCTCATAACAAGCTAAGGTAAAACACTTCATTTTCATTCCTTTCGCTGTCCTCATTTGCATTATCTTTTTCTTTGCAGATATATACACATTTTAAATGCTTTGCAAAAAAACCAAAAGAAGATTCATGTGAGCACAACCTATTCATCATTTGGCTATGAAAACTGGAAAACCTGTCTGAATAGTTGACAGAAAGCCTAGCTTTTTACAGGCACATTTTTCTGTTTCAAGACAGTACACTATCTCTACAATTAAAGATATTCAGGTACTTGTGACCCTGTTAGTTCATAACAGTGTGATTTTAACATCTTTGCCTTAGTGATGTATAACACCACTACACTTTACAATGCTACTACCAAACTAATTTCTTGATATTTCTTCTTTCAAGTAAGGAGTGGAAGGCATTTCAGAAGCTGTAAGTAGGCGGAGAAAAACCAGAACAGAAATACTTCTTTCATTCCCTGCTGTACAATTTAACCACTCTCTCGAACCAGCTCTTTCTACCTCAAGTTCTGCAACAGAGAAAACAATACTGACACCTCTTACTTTCCTACTCCTCCTTCATGTGAGCCCTCGGTTACAGGCTGAAGGGATGTCCCCATGCCGAGAAACTACGATCTTCTAATCCCCCCATGCTGGAGGAGAGAAGTTGTGCAGCCAGCAGGAGTTCAGCACTGGGGAAGGGCTGTGTGACCAGCGAGGGCTGGGGTAACATCACCCCACCGAGCTGTTCAGCCGGGGGCGCCTCTCCGCTTCCCGCCTTGCGGACCCCGCGCACTTCCAGGGCTCCTCCAGAGCTCAGCGACG